CAAATTTATTGAAGGAGTCTTCTCTCGACACCGGTTGCCTTCTGCCAATGTTTAGACGCTGGCGCAGAATCGGTAGCGTTGGAAATACTGTCTGACGTATCTATTTCTGCGACCCGATAGCAGAACCGGTTGTGGAAAATGAACGCATGAAAAATTCAGCCACTGAGAATGGAGATCAGATTACCACGGTCTACCTTAACAAGAATCAAACTTATAATGCATGCTATATCTAATTTTTCAGTATCGCAGAAATTGTTCACATGGACTGGTTAGTAATTGGCGCTGAATGGCGCCTGTGACAACGTTCCTTACGTTTGTGGGCCTTGTTCCTCCAAGGGCCGCGGCCGCCTACTTCGCTCCTGGTAAAATATTCCTGCCGTTCCTACCGTTACGGTTGGTGACCAAGCGGCCTAGTGCGTTCGCGAGGGTACCAGTCGATGATCGTCGTCGACCATCTCCTGCCGGTGAGCCGAGTTACTTGTTGGGTCCACCATAGCTTTCACCGTCTGTTTTCGACGACGACGTTTTTCACTCCAATCCGTTGTCTGATCACCTTGATGGGGCAATGGCAACGACATGAGATTCCCATCATTATTCCTATCATGACTATCTCGGTGGCTGAGTGCTGGCACTCGTCGGCTTTAATGAGCGACTACGTCTTACAGCTATACGACATGGTCAGCAACTAGGCACATCTGAGAAACATGCTACACTCCGTAAATCGTTTGAGAACATTTCTGAACTTAACGTGTATGGACGCTTTGATGCAGATCTCTTTCGAGTGTTGATGAAGCTGTATGAAGCTTGCAAAACCCGATGACAGTAAAGGATTCAGCAATGGTTCGATACAATGTTGCATGGTTGACAAAGTTACTTCATTATTTACTGTTAAAATCATTATTATTTATTCCTTCATATAGATGATATTTCCGGAAGCCATAGACGAAGCATAGCCAACTAGCTACAGCATACTACAAATCTGTAATATCCTTGACCTCTATGACTATTCTGGCTGTATCAAAAACGGCAGCTTTCTGGCACTTCTTTAGTAAACTTTCTGCGAGTTTGAGGTAGTTCAAACCCGATCTCATTAATTTGGAATGAGGCCATTTGCGAAATTGACCATTGGTGTTGCTAAGTCATTGTTATTATATTTAATAGGAATTCAAGAACGTTATTTGAGTCATGTAGGACCTCCAGAAAAACACCTTATACTAGACTGATAGTATGACGCCCTGCACTCCTTACTGACGCTGAAAATTCAAGGGAATATCTACCCAAGCCACACTTCCCCTCAAGATCGATAGGTGAAAGACAAAAGATCAGAGGTATCAGAGCATTACCAACCGAAGAATCAGAGAGGGAACAAGTCCATAAATAAAGGTTCCTTGATGCGATTGTCACTTGATTAGCAAATTGCCAAAGGGCGATTCGTATGTGGGTGGCACGATATTATAGGGCGGCAAAGACACCTTTGAAATGACAAGCGAATTAGAATTTGCTATTGAAAGTACTAGTTATGTCTGTTCCAACATATCAATGTAAAGAAAGAGTAGAACTTAAGGACAACCGGTGCACTCAGAATGATTACTACTTTTGAGCACGTCTGTGTTACCACAGTGTCTTTGACGTTAATTGCAGAAGGTCTCAACAAATGTCCCCTGTTCCAGGTTACCTGGAAAGCTGATCAAGGCTAGAGGCAGAAACGAAGAGGAAAAACTGCCTTTCAGGTCTGAGTCAACAGAGTTTTGGTCATGTAAGAGAGGCTTGAAGGGACAATCTGTAAACCGCAAAAAAATAAATCAAAGAAGGAAAGTTGAAATCATCACTGGATCACAGACTACTAACCGAAAACGAATTGCGTGCATTCAAAGAAGTAATGTGCTGTTCTGCAGATGCTCTGAATTATTCGTGGAGCGGCATACCGTATCGCCGATTCTCATGAGAATTTCTTAGCCATCCCGCTCTGTTTCTATGACGATTGCATTAATGCATTTAAAATTGAACGACGCATAACTCTGAGATCGTTCACAAGTCAGTCAGTTATTCACGTTGTTCTGGCGATGAGTTTTCCTTCTTTATCTTGAGGATGTTCAGTTCCATGTCTCACAAATGCACACATTTTGTTAAGAAGTTTCTGTAAGTTAATTGCAGAATTATTCGGCAGTAGATCTTCTGCATGCTGGAAGTTTTCAGCGTCAGCCATTCACTTCCAACTGCCCCTTTAACAGCACTGATGGCAGTCGGGTTCTTTCGTGACTGATGGAGCAAACCCGTTTTAGCATCTGTCTGATAAATGTTTGTTCATGTAGTGATGTATTATGCGCCATCTGTTGCTTTAGTATTTTCGATTCATGTGGACTGCTGCAGGCCGTACAGTGTACTCTTCACTTACATGAATGACAAGTTTCGTTAACAAACACCTTGTCCAAGACACTTGAACTTTACAAGAAATGCGGCCACGCCGGTCGGAATACTTTATCCTTCATGCAGTCAGCAAAAGTATTCTTCAGAAAGCAATGTCTTTCTCAGATGTCAGACATCGATTTAAAGAAGTAGAGAAACTGAGGAATCTGGTCTTCGTCTCAGTGAAAAAGCACTAACGACAGCTGCTAACGGAGTGCAGAGGAGCAAAACTTGACGCACTCTAGCAAGTTTTTGTGCTATTTTAACAACTCTAGAAACTGTTCCCGTTATGTTTACTTTACCATCGGTATGCCAGAAAGTTCGTAAAGTCCCTTTAGGGCACTTCAACAAAAACGGAAAAATTGGGCTCTATTAACTTTGCCTTTGAAACAACCCAGGATGTTAGTCACCGTTTCGGCTGATGATCAACACGCCGCTCAATCATATGAAAAGAGCGATAGTGATTCGCGAACAGACTACAGTAAGTCAATCAAACGTTGCCTTACTGAATTCA